ATAAAGATAATATTTGTGCATCATTCTTGTTGCTGGTGTTGTTCATCTAACAACTTTTCATTTGTGAATAAATAATAAAACAAGTTAAAGCTTTGCCTATAGATTTCATTTGAGATTTTCTTAACCAAGCACGGCAGTGTCGTCTGAGAGACGACTGCGTATAAACATAACATATACTAAACAAAATAATAAAAAATAACGTTAGCCTCTATTTATTAACGTTAACCCCTTCCCTACCAGAATTAAATTTTATAAAAAGTCATTTATCAAACAGCGGTACTTTTAAGTCTCACTGTTGCAATAATAATCACGTTAGCTTTGATTAGCTGAACGTATGCATATTTTGCGAGACTTTTAAGTACCGCTGGTAGACAAAGGGTTAAGATACGTCATTAAAGAAGGTCATTCAATATTTTCAATAAGCAACAAATAAAAAAATTAAAGAAATATACAATAAATGTTAAATAACAATTAAATCTTATTTGTTCTTTAAAAGTTCATTTCTATACAAGGTTGTTCAGTTTTTAATCGGGAAACTTTACTAGGATATAGTACTTGCCAAAATAACACAACTTTTTTATATAAACATAGGATCGCAACTCTTTTGTTTTCGAGCTATGGGCGACCAAAGTTGAGCAAAAATTTACTTAATTTTAAATAAAATTTATTTTTTATTTCTTCTGTAAGTAAACCGTGGAATTTGAAATTTTGTACGTGTTTACTACTGGTTAAGACCTTATTTTCAAGCGTACCTTGAGCTACGCTTATTAAGTATAGAGTTTTTGTATTTGTTTTGATTCTTAGTAGATCGTTTGTTACGTGTTTTTCTGGGTTTGTTATTACACGTAGTGTGCTGTTTAGTTTTTGTTGTAATTTCTTCTTGGCAGTGCATTGCCGTAGGCGGCTATCGGCATTATTATTAATTTGTAGATTTTCATTTTGTTTAGGTTTAGTTTGCTTTTTTATTGATGATAGGGTACAGTTTTGATGTTATGGCTGCTATTTTTCTTCTGGTTTAGTCTGCGTGGCTATTCATGTTTAATTTCTTGTCTAGTGTGATTTCTACATATTCAATCTCTCTTTTCCATTCTATTTCCTTGTTGTTGATTTTGACTTTTTTGAGAGTGCGGTTGAGGTCTTGTTTATGCATGAACATTATTGCTTCTGTCTTGTCTTCGTTGATTTTTATTTTCAATTTTTCCATATAACTTATTACTTGGCCTGTTGTTTGTTGGAGTTTTTTAACTATTGTTGATTTCATCCTTAATGAAGTAAAGATTGCTGTGTTGCCAGCGAATTGTGCTATAGTGGCTTTGTCGGTATATCTGATATGTATATGTTGAAGAGTCCTAGTACTGAGCCCTGATATTGTGTTTTCCAGTTTGACTTGAAATTTCCTTTTGTTTAAGTATGATTTTAAGATTTGAATTAGTTTTGCTGGGAATTTTGCTACTTTCATTTTATGTATGTGTCGAAATAAATATCTAAATTAAATTAATAATTTTAAGGCAAATTAAGTCGTGCCACCTATTAATAAGATGCCTAACTATATACTTGTTACGAGTTTATACAATCAAATTTACAATAATGTCCAAATTTTGCAAATGGAATATCTTTTGTAATTTTTACGTTTTCATATTATTAACTTTAAATAAATGTCTGGATTAAATTAATAATTTTTTATTTAAATCTAAAATTGTAGACAAATTGAGTCGTGCCATCTGTTAATAAGATGCCCAACTACACGTGTTACGAGAAATTTTGTTTTAGTGATGCAACTGTTTTATTGATTCTCTATTGTTAACTGCATTACCTGCATATAATAGTCATCTCAGCGGCTTCGATGTCGTTTTTTTTGTTTTCCAAACAAAAACAATGTTGTTTGGAAGAAGCTTCTCTGGCAGTTTTAACAACTTTTTCACTATGAAGTTTACAAAAATGTCTAAATGTTGCAAGTGGAGTCTTTCTTGTAATCTTTACGTTGAAAATTATCTACCAATAAATAAAAAATCGGAAATTTATTGCAAATCGATGTTCCAAAGGTGATATGGAAAATGATAACGGTGCCATGGTATAGATAAAGGAAGAATTTGTAAAGGTTTGGTTTGGATAAGAAATAAATTAGAAACGTTTATTTCTTATTAGCTACAATATTACATTCTTATTTATTTTTATGTTATTGTGTAGTGTAATTTTTTCTATATTTTAGGTGGAATTGTATTGTGGATAAACATTAGACATTGGTGTGATTTGGTTAATGAGGAACTGACACCCTCAAGGAATTAATTCTTTATTGAAAATTAAAGATAAACTATGGTCACATTGCTGCAATTTTTGAATACAATGTTTAACAGGTAAAAGTTAATTTTTGATAGACTTTGTTTATAAATTAACAACATAAGATGATCATCTTGTTTTGTAGAAAATGTAGAAAAGAAATTATGTTATGCATAATATATCAATAATGTTCGTACCAAGTAATAACTTTATTAATTAATAATAACTTAATGAGCAACTGATGTTATGTTTTAGGGGAACATCTAATCTGATTAAAGTTACACCCAACCCAGCCCTTATATATCAATGTCACTATATTTATATAATATGCCCTTTTTTTCTTAATTTTAACAAGTTAAAATAATAATAAAGAGACTAAAACTAAAAATGTAAAACCTAATCACCTGACTGTTTATGCACTTTAAGTCATTGTTTGGATCTTAAACTAGAAGGCTCTACAGTTTCAATAGCTTTGGTATTTTGAATATTTCAAAAAAACTTCTTACTTGCTTTAAAATAATATATTTATTTGGAACTGGTTTCGAGCAGTGTTTTACTCATCATCAGCCGAATCTACATTCAAAAACATATCATACAGACAGATATTTGAATATAAAATAAGTAGAAAAAGTAATATATTCATAACATATAGTCATAAAGTTAAAAATAACTCACAAACAGAAAAAATTTATGTTTTAAAAGTTAATAAAATATTGTATTAAGTTTTTCTTGAATTTGTAAATCTCATACTGCTCCAATAAGTCCATTTTTGGATCTTTGTTGTTTAAATGGGAAGCTATAAAGAACTGTAAAGATAAGTTAAATAAATAACATAAGTTAAGGGAAAAAAATGTTATCAAAAGGAAAAAAATAAATGGCGTGAACTTACTTGTTTCTTTGAAAATATAGTTGAGGTTAAGAAATCAAAACTACATTTAAAACATATACAATGTTGTTCATACAAAGCTTAAGAAACTATCAGAACTGAAATATATTATTAAATTAAAAGAAACCTCAATAATAGGTTGGAAAACACTCACAACTCAATGTCACGACATCCAGTTCGAAATAAACAGGTTATACAATATCTGAAGTCATAAATCTCATGATATATCTGTTATTGTTAAAGTCTGTAATGTCGTTAAGAATCATTTGTTTATTCTTTTTATTAACTAAACCAGTGCTCGAAATGGACTTTTTCACGAACCGGAACGCTTCCGAAATAAGTAAAACTCGCAACTTTTATTTTGTTACAAAAGTTTCCACAATAGCTCGTATTTTTTGTCTAATTTGTGAACTCTTTAGCGGCTGGCTGCATCATCGGCTGAATGTCGACCTGAAACAAAAAAAAATTATATATCTATACTGATACAACAATTTAAAAATTTTATTAGGTAGTATTAAATAGATTTTAATTACCTTTTGCTAACCACGATCGCACATATTTTTCAGGGTTAAATTGCGTTAGTGGTGGTCCAACGCAGTTTATGAATAACAGTGCAGCAGTTGTTTCCACCGACAACGATGATCGTAATGGTGTTACTATTTCATTCATTGAACTGAAATTCCTCTCACATTCGCTAGTGGATATTGGAATTGATGCAATAACGTTTAAAAGTGGTTTCAAATCATCAGGAATTTCTTCTTTTCCTCCGCTCATTTTGTAGAACCTAAAGCCACGAATTATTTGTACATCATTTAAATAGAACTGAGTACACAGATGTCTAATTTCTTTATCACCATATTGTATTTCTACTTCACCATCATTTGATTTTGGCCAATTCTTCGGCTCAAGAACACTAATACTCGCTAGTAAATTAGTGTATGTGTTTTCATTTTCAATCTGACTTGTCTGACGTTTGGCATCATAACGAGAACCATGAGAAGACGAAGTTGTTATCATACGATTCCTCATGTTATTTGCTAAACTGGTATACAGCTGTGCAGTATTTATGGGTACAACTCTACCCTCATGAAGTTGTATACCTTTGTATGTATTTTCTGAGATAGAGCACAAAAGTTTATCAAGTTTGGGTCCTGGTTGAGTAGTCATGGAGTCGAAAATTCGAATTGTAGTTCTTATAGCTTTATCAGCTTCAACAAGAGTAATGTTTTGACGCTGCAATACTTCTGACAAATCTCCCATTTCATCAAGAGCGTCAGACATAACATGTAGATTTTTTTTAAATTGTACATCACTCATAATGTTGAGTAAACCATTGTATTTGGCCCTTTCTTTTGTATCTCTAGTCAAATCCTTAGAGGCTGTCTCAAAATGTTCACAAAGTGCTTGGTAGTTATGTAATACAGCATTGATTGTACGTTTGCTTGATGCAACCCATCGAACAGATAAAATTCTTCCGATTCTTAAAATTTGCGCCTCAACCGAAGCTGCTGCCTTTTTGAGCTCATTTTGGTTTTTGGGCGATAGGTGGTATAAGCTATATAATTTATCTATAAAGATTTTAAAATGGTTGATACCACTGACTTCATTAACGCAGTCATTGACAGCAAGCTCTAATCTGTGATTAGAGCAGTGCCACACTAATAAATTTGGAAATATTGTTTGCAACCGCGTTGCTACTCCGGACTTCTTTCCAATCATAACCGAGGCTCCATCACAGGCAAAGGCTATGAGGTGCTCTTCCAGAAAAGTTTGATCAAAGCCATATTTATTTAGGCATATCAAAAGATCCTTTGTGATATTTTCAGCAGTTGAATCAGTCAGCTCAATTAAGTCAAGATTAAAGACATAGGTACCTTCTAGATTTGACGAGGAATCTTCGAAATTTGACCTTATTACTACAACCAAAGCCGTTTTTTTGCTTAGGGTTGTTGACTCGTCTATCAAAACTGAGATTTTCCTTTTATTTTCAATAATATTTTTGCATATGGCGTTTTTCATTTCAAATGCGATATGAGTCACAATGTCATGACACGTTTTGTCAGAATGTAAAATCTTACCCATAGTTAGTCCATTTGAAATTTGTAGATCTATATCAACAGGCAGATCAGTAAACGGCCTTTGATTTTTCGCAATTTTGTAAACAGTTCTGAAAACTCGTTCAGTGGTAGTAAATAATGTTTCATTCATTTTGTCAATGCCTCCTTCAATGGTCTTTTTTTTGCATGCTCTAGAATTTCTATGGCCTTTTTATGAGCTTCCGAATGTTTGTGTTCAAATATTTTTTTACGTAGGCTTGATTGCTGTGACTCCCGAGTCTTTCCATTTTCTGTCACTGAACATTCTTGCCACGGTTTTGAAACTCTTTTATTTTTGTCACTGTGAATGGCGAAAGAATCCACTTTGCCACAAACTAAACAGCCCAAAGCCTTATTTTCGACGATGAGCCAGTCATTGTTTTCTTTGAATGCCTGGTACTGGCTTACATTCCAACAAGCAGGTATGTGTTTGATATTATCACTATTCTCATCGACCTTACTCGGGCCACTTGTGCTGGGAAGATTTTGATAATCTTTTCCCAGTACTGTTTTTTTATTGCTGATCGGACTAGTCTCGTCAGGCTTGTGTGGCCTCTTTTTAAGCCAATTTTGTAGATTATTCATTTTAAATACCTACGCGACCGACACTGGACCTACAACGACATTGTAAATACAAAAATAGTAAAGTTAAAAATTTTTATTTATTGTTAGATGATTAGAATGCATACACACTGTCACTTCAATAAACTATCAACTAATCCTATCTACCAACAAACAGGAACGAAATGAAAATAACACAGTCTATATCTTTTAAGATCAAAGACAAATTGTACTTGTACAATTAGCACTTGTTGAAACTACGCTGCCTGCCAAATGCCAATGCGAACTCGGCTTAATCATGCCTATGCGCACACATACATCGTCGTCACGAGAGATCCAATTGTACGCCCGCTTTTTAAACTGAAAAGCAGTGTTCGTCCGTACTAACGTAGGTTTTTCGCTGAAGCCAATATGACATGAGGAAAACTTTTACGAAACGGAACGGTGATTTCACGAACCGGAACAGCGTTCCGGTGCGTTCCGGTCCATTTCGAGCACTGATTAGATGTGAAGACTAAGTTGATGTTTATTTTGTATAAGTTTCTTTTTAAATCCATTAGGGAGGAGTGAAAAGCTGAAGTAATGAAACAATGTTGACTTTTCTAATGAGGGTAAATGAATCTATTGACTTGTCTAGTGACTTGATTTCGCTCATATTAAAACCGTTGTTAAAGCCAATTTTTAGAATTTTCTTTATTTCTATTTGTAATCGCTAGTATTTAATGGGAGATTTATTAATCTATTAAAAAGAAATTTAAATGAAGCAAACTTGTGTTGAGTACTACTGTGTGAGAATTAAGGAATGATGGAGTCAGTGCATGTAGGTTTTCTAAAGATGTTAAATTCAAGTTTGTTAGTTATGTTGTTTTTTCTTATCTCGAAATCAAAGAAATTAATTTTTAAATTGGATTCAAGTTCGGTGGTGAAGTTTAAGGCGCATAAATTATTAATTAGGTTACAAGGTGCGTGAAATTTTGCTTTGTTGCCTTCGTAAAGAATCAGGATGTCATCAACGAATCTACAGTAGAACGTAATGTCTTTATTGAACAAAACGTACTTATCTGTGAAAATATTAGTTTCATAATGTTTAACGTAAATGTCAGCCAAAATACCTGATATGAGAGGGAGGGGAGGGGTTTTGTAAAATGAATTTATGTTCTTTATAACATTAAAGTTGTCTTCAAAATTTTTTATATGTGGATTGAACATTAATTGGGCTTCCATTAAATGGTCAAATTTGTTTATGGCTAGAGTTTAGGATGTTATTCTCTATATTATTGAACTGAACATCGCTCATATTGGTGAATCTAGTATCGAATGTGATTTCATCGAGATCTCTTTTCATCGTACTTAATTTGAAGTTTCTTATTATTACTATATTTTTCATGATGAACCTAGATTATATGTTGGTTTCATTATAAACGTTTCAGTTAATTTTATTCTTGTGTTCATGTATTTGTATACCCAATTTTCTTCGTGTTAGCCCTATGTGTATTCCATTGCAGTTCGAACATTTTACAGAATAAACTCCGCATTTTTCAAAAATGTCTCTCCTCTACATATGATTGTTTGAAAGTAATTTCAAAATAGTATTATTATTTGAAAAAGCCAAGGATTATACCGTGAATATATATTATACCTTGAAAAAATATCTTTACATTGTAATGTAGTATTGTTAAAAGGAATAGGTTTGAAAATCTTAGGCTCTAGCATTATTGATGCCCTCCGCTTATCTCAACGATATTTCTGAGTTCCTCTTAAGAAAATTTAAATACCATTTTTGTTGTGCTGTGCCGTCTTTAAAGATATTCAGTTACGAATTGACTGTAATTTTTCTTACTGTATCCAGCAACATTTCATTCTTTATTCGAAATCCACATTTAGCTTGAATAGAACGCTCAAACTTTCTCTCTATAGAGTGTTCAAGGCGTAGGGACGAATATTAAAGTGTTATAGAACTTACAAAGTTTAATGAAAATGTAAATTTTTTTACAAACATATTAAGTAACATCTCCCATTTATGTATGAAAAATTATATCCTCCATATGACTATCCAAGGCTGCGCGGCAATGAGCTATACGTTTTATTGAAGTTTTCAATAACGCGTTCACAAACATCTGGTGGGATGCTGCTAATAATACATAACCCTTTGAATTTCTTCCGTCAATTGGTGTATTGTTTGTGGTTTGTTCACGTTTGATTTCACAAATCCCCACAAAAAAAAGTCACACGGCGTAAGACCAGATCTGGCAGGCCATTCCTGGTTGCCACGCAAAGAGATAATTTTTTGAGGAAACTTTTCATTCAGCAGAGCAGCCGTTTCACGGGATGTGTGACATGTCGCACCACCTTGTTAAAACCAAAACTCGTCATTTTCATCCACAATTGGGAAAAAACAATCAGAATACCCGAACGATTTTATGAAGTTTGGTATCTTCCAAAGTGCTTAGGAGCTTTGGATGGTAAACATGTAAGAGTACAAAAGGTTCCTAACACAGGATCAGCAAATTTGAATTATAAGGAGTACCAGTCCATTGTATTGCTGGCTTGTTCAGATACAAATGGACTATATATGTCATGATTGTAGATACCAGATTGTTGAAACCCTTTGGCTACCAAACGAGCCTTATATGTTGTCACATTTCCCTTTTCATCTTTCTTTTGTTTAAAACCCCATTTACTTTGAATGGCTGTACATTTTGTTTCCATTTTACACTCTGTAATCCAAGTTTCATTTTCTTCCTATGCTTTAATTTCTGCTTCCATTGCATCTTTTCACTTTTCACAGTCACTACTAGCTATTGCATCGTCGTAGCACATAACTTCAACATCTTCATCACTCATTGATAATAAAATTTTGTCCATGTCTAGTTCGTAATCATTGTATCTTGCGTTTCTTTTCCTTTCTCTTCTTAATTCATATCTTCTATTTACTATTTCATCATTTATCTCAGAATCATCTTTTTCAATATCCTGGTCATTGCCATCGACACTTTCATTTCTATCGTTGTCCGATGAGTTTTCGTTTTCTTCATTTACGGTGCCATTATTCTGTATTTCCTCTGTGTCATCCTCTAAAATTTTTGGATCTTCTTCTATGATTTCAATAAGTTTGTCATCGTTTTCTGGCTTGGTCTTTTCTGGTAAGAATATTACGTCTCTGAGTACATCTATTCTGTTTTTATGAGGTATATAGATTCTGTATCCTTTTACATCTTCGCCATATCCAACAAATATTCCTTGTTTACCTTTAGGATCCCACTTTAGTCTTGTCTCTTTAGGAACATGCACAGACACATTACAGCGAAAAGGTTTAAAGTGTTGTATCTTTGCTGTGTTGTTGTGCCACAGCTCATATGGGCTTTTCAATTTTTGGGGGATAGGACCTGTTCGATTTAATATGTGAGTAACGTTATTTACCGTTTCAGCCCAGAAGGACTTATCCATCTTTTTGCTGTGTAACAAAGTTCTAGCTGCCTCAACTAGGGTTCTAATCTCCCTTTCTGCCCTTCCATTTTGCTGAGGTGTGTATGCAACAGATCTCTGATGTCTAATACCTTTATGTTCTTGTTAGATGACTAAGGTTGTAATGAGGAACTTTTCTTTATATAACGATTTATTCACGTTGACACTTTTACACGTTCGCATAACAACAACTAAAAACTAACCTTACCAACTTGACTCTCACACAGAACGAGAGTTGGTCGGTAAAACAGATTTCTTAAAACAAAATATTTCACACTCCCCTTCAAGTTAACATTTCTGATTTTTCTTTTTTTATAAGTTTGCACAACTGGCAAAAGAAATAATAATTAAACGACATTAAATATACAAATTTAACTTGCTTCTAAATATTTCAAATTTGATTCGCCCCAATGGTTTTGTAAATATATCAGCCGTATTGTTGTCGGTCTTAACATATTTTACATTCATTAGGTTTTTACTTACAATATCTTTGATATAATGTAACTTAATATCTATGTGTCTAGATCTTTTGCTATTCATATAATTCTTAATCATAGAAATTGCACTCTGATTATCCACAAACATAACTGGGATCTCACATTCATTTTTTTTAATTCTGTCAATACACTTTGTAGATACATTAGGTCACAGGTTGCGCTGGCACAAGCTATATACTCAGCTTCTGCTGTTGAAAGTGCTACGACGTTTTGTTTTCTGGTAGACCATAGAATCAGATTTTGACCGTGATAAATGGCTGATCCACTTACACTTTTCCTATCCACTTTGTTGTTTCCCCAATCTGCGTCTGTGTATGCAATCAGGTTTTGTATATTGCTCTTTCTGTATACTAATTTTACTTCTTTCGTATGTTGCAGGTATCTAAGAATTCGCTTTCCTGCATTCCAAACTTGCGTGGTGGGTTTATTTATAAACTGACTTAAATAAGATGTGGCAAATGTAATATCCGGTCTACTCACTGTTGATAGATATAGTAGTGATCCAATTAGTTCTCTGAATGGTGCTTTTATACATTCACTCTTTTCGTCAATATAGAAGTTTTGTTCCATTGGAGTAAATTGGCCTTTACATTCACTCATGTTGAACTTTTGCAGTATTTTAGTAATGAAACATTCTTGGTCTATAGAAAGTTCATTTTTACCTTTGATGATGTTCATACCAAGAAAGTTTTTGAATTCTCCTAAATCTTTAGCATTGAACTCAACCTTCGGCGATTCAATTAAATTTTGAACTTTTGGTTCTTCTCCAGTTATTATAATATCATCAACCCAAATAATGAGTCTTACTTCTGTACTGGTATACAAGCAAAAGTCGCTGTTTGATCTTTGTAATCCGTTTTTCTCGACAAAGTTGTGGAATCTTTCGTTCCATTTCCTTGGTGCTAATTTTAGACCATATAAACTCTTTATTAACTTCAGAACTTTTCCAGGCTGATTGTTAACACCTTGTGGCGTTTTTATGTATACATCGTTGTCCAGATATCCGTTTAAAAAGGCAGTAGGTATATCTAATTGTTTGATTACCCATTCATGTTGTATGGCATAGGATAGCAGCAGTCGGATTGTTGGAATACGTGCCACTGGACTATAAACTTCCCCGTAGTAATCCTCTTG